GCCCGCCTCCGTGCCTGCGCGCGCCGGCGCCATGGAGACGGTCACAAGACGCCCGCGCCCGGCGCGCCAGCCAATGGGAGCGCACGTCGCGGGGAGACGCGGACGTCGCTCTTCCAAGATGGCGGCGCGTCCGTCGCGAGCAGCCGGGCCGGGGGGAAGCCAGCGCAGCGGAGTCGAGCCGCCGCCCGGGACGGGACCGAAGCAGCAGTTGTCGCCGTTGGCGGCGGCCCGGGCAGTTTCCGCGGCTGCTACGGCTGTTGCCATGCGGCGGGGCTAGGGAGGACGTCACTCCCCCGGGGTGTAATGATGTTAACAGAGGTAAGCGGCGCCCGCTGTTTACCTGACTGGCGGGTGAGCGGCCGGCGCGTCAGCGACGCCCCTGCCCCCCGGGCGCCGGGCCCGACCCGCGCCGCGGCCCGGCCAGCCGCCGGGACCGCACGAGTGCCGGCGAGTGGGCGCGGTGCTGACTCGGCGGAGTTCCACCTCCTCGCCGCCGCCCCTCGGTGCTGCCCGCGCCCCGCGTCCCCGGGCTGCGGGGCCCGTCCCCTCCCGGCCGCCGGCTCAGCATCCCTGGCGGTGGCGGCCGGCCCGAGCGGCTCCGCCCCCCCCCCCCCCCCCCCCCCGCTCTCTCGGCCCCGCGGGGGCCCGCTCGCCAGCCCCGCGCCCTCCGCCCCTGCCCCCGCACGCCATCGCGTTCCCGCGGTGGTCCGGTCCCGGAGCTGAGTTTGGCGTGCCCCTTCCCGACCTGCGGGTGACCCCCTTGGCTGCTCTCGGCGGAACAGTGTTTCTCCTTTGACCCGAAATGGAAGTAGGGCAGCAGCGCTGAGCCAATCCGTTTCCCCTTCCTTAGTGCCCACTGTCCAGTGTGGAAACCGGACTTGGGAGAGGAAGAGTTTGCCTGCACTAGCAGTACTGGACGGGGAAGAACCTGACCGCTGCGACGAGTTCAGTGACGGGAGCTGACCTGGCTGTGTGGGATGGGCTGTGCAGGTGTGGATGTCCGACGCTTGTGGGTTGATAAAATCCTAGAAGCCGGGCACTTCAGGTTCTGCCAGAATCCTGAAGTCGGGGACGGGTTTGGACGTCTGTGTGAGCCGATGGGAGGGTAATAAACAGTGTTGATGGTCCCTGGGAAGCAGTCCCACACGGGCCAAAAAGGAAATAAAATATCCGCGTGGTTCACTGTGTGAACAGCGATGATACGATAGGACACTCCGGACTTTCCACGTCTTTGGAACTTGTCTAGCTGAGAAGCTTCGTAGTTTGGTGTTTGTTTTCGTCTGCCCCCGGAATCTGGCCTATATAGGACGCGCTTGGGAAATCCCTGTTGGCTGATTGTTAACTTATGAACCGCACTATTCTAGGAGTGGGAAGTTCACCTGAGGTTTCTCAGGTCTACATATTTCCGAAGTTACTTTCATTGCCACAGACTGTGGTCCTATCGTAGATTGTCACGTTAAAAAGCCAAGAGCGCTTCAGTTTTGTTAACTCTGATATTTCAGTGAGAAGCTGTCCTTATATTAGTATTAACTTTTCAGTGGTGTATAATATATAGGTAGTATGGGATGGCCTTTTGATAAAACTCTTGAGAGTTTTGATCTTTTCACATGAAAGTAGTGTGCTAATATAAAGATACTGTCTTGGTGTGGATAGTCCTAGCATTCTTTTTCTTTTTTGTTCTTTTGAGACAGAGTTTCTCTGTGTAACCTTGGGTGTCCTGGACTCCCTTTTGTAGACCAGGCTGGCCTCAAACTCACAGATTCTCCTGTCTCTGTCTCCCCAGGTGCTGGGATTACAGGCTTGCGACACCATGCCCGGCTAGCCCGAACATTCTAAACTTCTGTGCTTTAATATGATTTAACGTTTCAGTGAAGAATTTTGAACAGTAGATCAGAGAGAGTAGTAGTAAGCTGCCCTTTGTTGTTCTCTCTCTCTCTCTCTCTCTCTCTCTGTGTGTGTGTGTGTGTGTGTGTGTGTACATCACACAGGCTTGTTAGTGGCAGAGCCAGCGTTCCAATGTAGGCAGTTCCTGTAGAGCTATTTTATCAAGCACTGCTTTGGGCTGCTGCTCTACAGCAAAACTCAGATTAAGTTGTGCTTTGATCTTGTCTATGATTTTCAGTAGACATTTTATAGATAAGCAGACCAAAGCCCAGACACTTGTCCAAGGTCAAACAACTATTAGTGAAATAGTTGACACTAGAACTCATCTCCTGACTCAGTTCAGAGTACCAACCACTTTGCTCAGCCGCCCTTTCAAGGGCTAGTTTTCAGCTTTCCTGACCAGTCCTAAGCATCTTACTTCCTGGTCTGAATTAGCGTCAGCTGTTGAACAGCAAAGATTTCATTACTTGAGACTTTTTTGCTGAACTTACCTTTTTGTCTTTTTTTTTTTTTTAAAAATAGTCCCGTAAACAGTCCCATTTTGAAATAATTAGATACAAATGACTGTGTGTGTGTGTTTAGGCGATGTGATTTAATTAATGTTAGATCTTAAAATCTACAGTTATGAGCTGCATCATGAAAGGTTTTCTTGCCTTTTTAGTAGTCATGTTCAGCTTGTGTTTTCTCTGGTTCGAAGGCAGTGAGTGAGGTAGGTGATACTGTCACCATTAGCTGTGTGATGAAACAGGTTGAGACGGTGAAAATAACTTCATTAAAAGCCACAGATTAAGACAAGAGTCACACCTTAAGTGTTCCTATTGAAGATTCTGTGGTGTGCCTTACCCGAGATTTAGAAACCCTCTTCCTCCCTCTCTTTCTCATCTTTCTTTCTTCTCCTTCCCACCACTTCTGTTCTTTTCATTTTCCTTCTACTTCTGATATGTCACTATGCTAGTCTTAATAAAACATAAAGTGGAGATACATAGATATGATCATAATATAAGCATTCATACGAAACCAGTTTTTTGTCAATTATATATTTAATTGAAACTTCAGAAATGAGGTAACACAGATGAGTTATTCATTAAGAGCTATTTTAAATAAGGTAAAAGGGAAAGTTACTCAATTAAGAGAACTAGTATCTGTGTTGAACTTTGAAACCTGTAGAAGATAATAGTGTGAATTGAAAGTGTGGGCCTAGATAGGCAGCTCTTTTTAACTTTTTGGCTTCATTTTTTGCTTTAAAAATATATTTTTTAATGTAGCTGAATTATTTGGAAGACCCTTCATTCATTTTGTGTGTCTTTATATTTTCCATTAAGGATGATACAGCTACTTTTAATATCCAGTTAAGATTTCTTCGTCTGTTTTTGTCCCTGTAAGACTTACCGTTTTCCTTGTTTCTCCTAGAACATTTACAAAAATATATTTGATATATTTGAAAGTTATTTGCTTAATATTTTTTCACTTTCTCCTTATTAATAGTAAACTTTACATTCCAAAATTGGGGCTTTTTAACATCAGAATTTGTTTTAATTAGTGTGAATTTTCTCAGTATTAAAATATTGTTAAATATCACTGAATTTCATTAGTAAACTTTTAGAGTTTTCTTGATTTTTCAGAAGCTATGCTAGGGCTCTGATTCTGGAAATAGTTTATGATAGCTAAGTAAAGGTACAGAAGATGGAGGAAACTATGCTAAGTTGATTCTGGTAACATGGTGTTTTTTTTTTTTTTTGTGTGTGTGTGTGTATGTGTGTGTGTAATCAGTTGCCAGTCCTTTGCCATCCTGTGCATGTACAAGATGGTCCATACCCTCAGTTCCAGCACCTGGGACATGGGAGCACGAGGAGCCAGTCCAGCATCTGGTTCTGCAGCCAGTCTGGGCTACATGAGACCCTGCCTCAAAAACAGACGGACAATAAAGAGAGTGAGAGAAAGAGATAGGAAGTGCCTTCATTTGTAGATGTGGGCCATTAAGTGAGTTATAAATAAAATAGTTTATATTTGTGTTAAACCACTAAATCTAGCTTTATTGATTTTCAGGTATGAACACTTTTTTTTTTTTTGTTTTATTTTGTTTTTTTGTTTTTACTTCAAGGTTAAGAGATCAGATGGAAAAGACCTAAATGGTAGGATGTCTAGAAGTCCCAGCTTGTTACGAAATGAAAAGGCTTTGTGGTTAAGGTAAATTAGGAGGATACTTGTTGAAAGGAAATGAAATGTTTCCTCTCTGGAGGACTGCTCATTGCTTTCCATGGGTGATTGACTCAGAAAGAAAGTGATACAGTTATAGCCTATTGTGAAGTTATGTGACCATGGAGACTTTCAGAAATGTGTGTGCTTTATGTGGTGAAGCCTTGAGACGGGTGGGTGATTGTGCATCGAGGAACAGGCTGAGCTTCTAGGGACCCTTTTGAGTACAAGGCTGTACACATGCACACCGGTGAGAACTATCTAAAATGTTTTGGCAGGATTTTATTGATTAGTGCATTCATGGTGGAAATACTCTTGGGATCGATTAATCCTTAAACTGCAGGAGCTGCTTCTTTAATTATTAATCAGTGGCATTGTAAAGGCTGCTAACCAGAGCTAGAACCCTGAAGCCTCTTGGTATTTAAGGCACGTGATGAGGTGTGAGGAGGACTCTAGAAAGAGGGTGGAACTTTCTCACCGGAGTGACTCGGGTTTGCTAGCATACACTTTCCTTGTCTGCATGTTTACTAGAGGTGAGTTGAGTGTTACTTTGACTTGTTTTGTTGAGACAGCCTCATAGGTAGCTCTTGCCATCTTGGAACCCTTAGGTAGCCCACGCTGGTCTTAAACTTACAGAGATCTGTCTGCCTCTCTCTTCCTCTCAAGTGCTAGGATTAAAGGCATGGCTGAATCTTACTGGTTTTTTAAAAATATAGTGTTTATTTAATTAAAAAACTTTTTTTTTGAGACTGTGTCCTTAGACCACGATGTCCTCACAGAGGTCCGCCTGCTTCTGCCTGTCAAGGGTCTAAAGGCATGTGCCATCACCGCCCAGCAAGATTTAATTTTTAAATGAGTGCTTTATATTTACAATCCTGTATGTTTAATAGGGTACAGTGTAGTATTTTGAATTAATGTGTACAATTTGAAATGATTCACTGAAGCTAAATAACATACCCACCACCTCACTTTCCTTTTATTATTTAGAGAATTTTTGGTTCCTTCCTGTAATCCTTTCTTGTAGCTAGGACTTTACGTATTTAATACAGTGAATTACCTCTGTACAAGTGGAAAATTGTTTACATTTCTAGCCCAGTGTGACTGTTAGTTTCTGTATATTGCCAGTTTACCACAGTAAGCAGGAATGCCTTTTTACAAAGATGGTAACACAGGTAAAGCCTCCAAAAATTCAAGTTAAGTCAATATCATTTTACTCACACATCAATAATAGCATGTTG